AGAGGGAGTGTTCGCCCGGGGCGCCAAACAGCCTAGGACCACCACTGACTGTCATGTTTCCTTGTTTTCAGGAAAACAGTACACCAGGTTCGGCTGCAGGAGGAAGGCTGATGGGAAAATGGTTCAGAGGATGTTCTGCTCCAATATCAGCAAACCGAGAGCCATCAGCCGCAGCTGTAACCCCGAGGCCTGCAGCCCGGCACGGTAACATGCTACAGGTCACGTGACACACCCACAGTCACCCAGTCATTTTTCTTCTTTTGATGCATGTCTTCCCCTCAGCTGGGTGACCGGAGACTGGGAGGACTGCAGCTCCTCCTGCGGTCAGACTGGGTGGCAGCGTCGCTGGGTGAGCTGCCTGCAGAACTCCTCCAGGGGGCAGCAGCGGCGCTCTGTGCATAGCAGGCTCTGCGGCGATGACCGACCAGAGACTAAACAACCCTGTAACCGCTTCCCCTGCCCCGCTGTGTGGAGAGCCGGGCCCTGGACTCCGGTATGAAGATCTGTTTATCAGGAGTTGCACATGTCCACAGATCAATACCTGATCAGTCTGATCGATCCCTCTGTGTACGCAGTGTTCGGTCTCGTGTGGGAACGGGACTCAGGAGCGTCAGGTCGCGTGCTCCAATCCCGAGAGTTCAGCTGGAAACTGCAGCGAGCCTCGGCCAATTACGACACGCACCTGCCTGGCTCCGCCCTGCAGTGGTAGGCACTGACCAGTCATGTACCGTACATTTGTTGCAATGAGGAAAAGGATGGATGCTGGGAATTACAGTGCTGCTGCTCTCCCTGCAGGTGACCAGAAGAATGCCATCATTCAGTGGCTGTCCAGGTCCAACCCCAGCTTCCCGGCTCCAAAGATCTCTTCAAGTAAAGCGCTCTGACTCCTGCTCTGTCTGCCGTCTGTCTTTACGTCCTCGTCTTCTTCTCTTGCTTCCTGAACGTTGTGGTCTGAGGGTTTCTGTCCTGTTGTTTGCTGAGAATCAATGCTCTGGTCGGTGTCTCAGGTCAGTCAGGTCGCACACCTCCAGACTCAAATGGTAAATGGCCTGTATCTGTATAGCTTTACTAGTCCCAAAGCGCTTTACACATCCATTCATCCACCCACCATTGTGAGCCATGAGTAACCCTCATCACTCAGGACACTCACAGATTCAGTTCAGTCCAAGTCCTTTCTTTGCACCACTTCAAAGCTTTCAGTCCCCTTCTCTTATTTTTGTTTACATTTCTCCTGTTTGCTATTTTACTGTTTATAGTCTATCACAGTTTCTGCTTCGTGTCTTTCTGCTGTGTCTTAACACATCTCTGAGGATCACACTAACCCATCAAACCACTGAAGTAAAACTTGTAGCTGAGGTCTTACGTGTCAGGATTCACACCGTCCTACTGTTCTGTCTGTAGGGCAGCCGTGCCGCGGCGACCGCTCGGCGTTCTGTCGAATGGAGGTGCTGAGTCGGTACTGCTCTATCATCGGATACCGCCAGATGTGCTGCAAGTCCTGTAGTGAGGATAACTTCAACAATGCCACAAAATCCAGAATCTCCAGCAACTTCAGTGGCACCATCACACCGACGGAGAACAGCAGGTCAGACATGACGGGTAACAAAAGGAGTCTTAGAAAGATATAACTGAGTCCCAGTCTCAAACACAGAGCAAAACCTGCAGTCAGACAAACGTGTGATACATCGACAAAGCTGAAAATAAAAGTGCAGAGCAGGAGTGAGCTGACCGTGAAACTGCTGATTGGCTTTACACTGAAGTGTTCATTTAAAGCAGGAAGCAGGGGCGGGTTTAGGGCGGGGCCATAGACCTGAACTCTGTTTTTGTCTTTTTAGTTCTTGGAGGTTGACCACAGAGATCATGACGTCAGCGCTCACCTCCACCTGGTCCGACAGCAGCCGTGCCATCAGTGATGTCTTTCGTGACATCATCACCACCACCCCGACGCGCAGCTTCACTGTAACTCCACCCCCAACCAGACGGAGCACCGGTGACTTTGTCTACGTGGATTATGATGAGTACAGCGAGTACTCTTCCTACGAGGATTCCTCCGGCCTGAATGAGCTTCCGGGTACTCCAACCACCACTGACAGTAATACTATTACCACACAAACTGCTCCAACACATGTGTTCAGGAAGAATTCTCCCACAATACCCCCTGCTGCAGTTACCATGGAGACTGTTGACACTGAAGACCAAACGCCGGCGCTGGTTTGGACTTCTGCCATCCCAGAGTTCTCCACCACATCATCGCCTGATCCTGGTGACAACACCACATCCTCAGGAGGGCGGAGCCTCCAAAGTCAAGTCAACCTGACCGAAGCTGAACTGGCGCTACCTTCATCGTCCTTCTTCTCGCTATCAAAGAAAGAGAACAACTCGGTGGACGAGGTCCAGTACCAGATCGTCGGACTTGACAGCGACGTTAGCCGAGGACAGCAGAATTACTTTGTGCCGCGGATGCCTCAGGTCCACGAGCGAACGCATAACAAACGCATCCAGCAGCTCCTGAACGAGAAACGACGGCAGGACCTTTTGCGGCGGCAAAGCCGCATCAGAGCGAGCCGGACTGACAGGAAGCACTGAGCGCAGATTTCCCCTGGCCATTTGCTCGTCCCGACACGTGCAACGTCGCACTTCCTGCTAACGCTAATGAGAAACAGACTGAAACAACCTCCACCTGTGCTCGGAGCGGCCTTCGTCCACGAGAGGCGCGAGCGTGGACTCGATCCTCAGAAGGCCCCGGGTCTGTTTCACCATCATGATGTTTGTACCAATAATCCTGTTTCTGAATAAAGTCTCATCCAGCTGCTGCTGTGCCTCTGAATCATGAACATCTGGATCACGTTCACGCTTTCTGGTGTCAGGAACATTTTGTGCTTTTGTCTTCTCTGAAACCCGACTAATGATTTCTGTTTGTGAAGTCAAAATAAAATCCAGCCCTGTTTTTACCATGAAATTAAAAGCAGTGAATCCTTTAATAGAAACCGAGAGCACAGGAACAAACTGATCAGTGTTATTGATTTTGATAAACAGCGTCTCATGCTGTCCCCTCTGAGCTGAAACCTGATGTTTCCTTGGTGTTGATCTCAGCGTCTGTTTTGTTGTATTTTGGTTTCATGAGGCTGCAGATGCTTGCAGTGAAGGTGTGGCCTGTTCTCAGGTCAGTCTGGAGCCGGGCTGCTGGAGTGCTGTTTGGGGAGGGAAGCAGATGTTGCTCCTGCACCTGCAGATATGGTTCAGCATTGACGGGGCCTTCACAGAGGTGCACCATAGATGACTTTGTGTGCAGGAGTCTAACCGTTCTGTTCAGTGTTTGAGATGCTGTCGGTGATGTTGGTGCTGGTTAAAGCTAATCGTCCTGTGGGACGCGTGCGACTTCATGCTGGATACGATCAGGATCAGATCTTTGTTTGTGTCTCGTGTCTTTAGGCTGTCGCAGATATTTTTCTGCCGGTAAACTCTCCTCCAGCTGCAGTCTGTGGGACATCAAACTGAATCCAGATCAGATGAATTGCTTCGTGTTTGGGAGCGCTCAGTGGAAAAAGCTGACTGCTTTGAAAACACGTCACACATGGTTCGACTTTCTGTGTTTGTCCCTCCGTCTCCTCCAGAAAACAATCAAAACATAAAAACCCGCTCGCGGGTCCACCGAGACTAAACTGTGAGTAAATGTGTTCTCAGAGCAGCTTGAGTCATTTCAGGACGATGAAGAACATCAGCCTGGGAACAGATGGTCAGACACAAACAGCCCACAAACCCAAATATAACAAAAGAAACACAGAAACAGAAAAAATGAATTATCAGATCAGAAAAGAAAAAGTAAGTTAGATGTTCACATCCCTCCTCTTTCTACCAGAATGTAAAAATCACTCTGGAACCAGTCACGTTCATAACCAGAGCAGTCACGTGTCCGTCCACTGTTCACCAGTTTATCCCCAACATGAATCTGTGGTTCCCAGACTGCTGAGACTGGGCAGCTCTGCAGAGAGAAGACCTCCACCAGAGCATCCCCAACCACAGACAGGAACTCCACCCTGTCCTGATCCGATCCTCCGTCAGACACAGTCATCTCAGTGTGGAGGAGCAGACTCTCCTCTTCATCTCTGGGAGACGGCTGATGTCACGGCTGATGTCACGGCTGATGTTACTAACTGATCTCTTTGTAACTGATAACTGATTGATGATCAGAGTCCTTCACAGGGGGTCTGGGGAACGCCCCCTGCTGGCCAGAGCAACATCACACACCTGCTGACTGATGTGTGGATATCAGTCATCAGTCTTTAATCTGCAGTGAAACAGCAGCTCATGTTCATTTAAAGTAAAATATATCTGTGCTTAAAGGTGTTTTTCACCATTATGGATCATTAAAATAGTAAAATCTTGTGAAACATAATTGAGTTATTTGACATATGATTTGAGATACTTTGTGAATTTATTTAAGAGCTAACTGTTTGTAATAAACGACCAGAGAAACCACTCAAAACAGTGTCTGCCTGTCAGGATAAACTCGGGGCTGGATGTTGCTCCTGTCAGGATAAACTCAGGGTTGAATGTTGCTCCTCTCATGATAAACTCAGGGTTGAATGTTGCTCCTGTCAGGATAAACTCGGGGCTGGATGTTGCTCCTGTCAGGATAAACTCGGGGCTGGATGTTGCTCCTGTCAGGATAAACTCGGGGCTGGATATTGCTCCTGTCATGATAAACTCAGGGTTGAATGTTGCTCCTGTCAGGATAAACTCGGGGCTGCAGTGACACACATCGTCCTTGACAGGAAGCTAAGATGGCGGCCGCCGTGGTGAGGAGTCTGGGCTCCACTTTGGGTAAAAACCTCCGAGAGATCCGCCTGCATCTCTG